TATATGTATATGTATATGTGTATATATATATGTATGTATATGTGTATATGTATATATATATATATATATATATAAAAATATAAAGGTTTCAGTCTATCTGGTCTATCTTTTTTTTTTTTTTTTTTTTGCACATCCCTGCAAAATGGTAGTGGATGGATGGATTGCATGATGAATGTGTTGTTTTTTTTTTTTTTCTGTCATTAGACTGGAGGTGGGCGAGAGGCCAGAAGCACAGAGAAGAGTACATCAGTATTCTCAATGCCTTCATCGACAAAAAAGACAGCTATTATTCCATCCATCAGATAGGTAAGAAGTGACTGTCAGTTACATTTGGTTGAATTAAAAGCTAGTTGGCTGAGACCTAAAACTGTTCTTTGAACTCACTGCAGCCCAAATGGGAGTTGGAGAAGGGAAGCCTATAGGCCAGTGGTATGGACCAAACACAGTGGCCCAGGTTCTAAAGTAAGTGTTGTTAAAAAAAGTTTGAAATTATGTCTGTATCGGCTTGAACTGCTTATGTTGTATTTGTTGCAAATAACATTAAAACATATAAGAAATGTTCCTGCATGTAAAAAGAAACAAATTGAAGATTCTCTAATGTACATGTTAATATGTGAAGATATTAAAAAGTTAAAAACCCAGTTTTTATCTAACTGAGTCTGTGTACTGTGTCGCTCTCAGGAAGCTGACAGTGTTTGATACGTGGAGCAGGTTAGTTGTGCACGTAGCAATGGACAACACGGTGGTCATCGAAGAGATCAGTGAGTTGTTTTACTGTATTGTCTTCATTAAAAGGACCAGTTAAAATGTCACTTTGTAGTCGCCCAGAAGTAGAGAGAAGCTAACCAAGCACAAGTCACTCATAAATGGAACTTTTTTAAGAGTGCAAACCGAATAGTTATAGCTAAACTGTCCTACATGAATTAAATAAAAGACCACAACATTTAACTATCATATAGGAAGTAAACATTGTTTTCAAAGGAATGCTTCAAATCCAAGACATTTTACACATCACTGTGTATAAATTTGTTGTATTATTAGTCTTCATTGCCTTTATATTATAAGAGAAGCCATTTCTGATCATCAACAGTGACAACTGTGTGATCAGCATATGCACTATGTGTCTCCACTCCAGGAGTTGCACTGTCATGTACCAGGGTTTCATCACCAGGAGTTGCACTGTCATGTACCAGGGCTTCATCAAGGAAGTATTCAATAGCCTGGCCACAGTTACAGACCACAGACATTTGGTCGTGTCTCATCTGCATAACTTAGTAATCTTACAATAAGTAGGATAAACAGAGAGTGTATATATATATGTATATGTATATATGTATATATATGTATATATATATGTGTATATATGTATATATATGTATATGTATATATATATGTATATATGTATATATGTATATATATGTATATATGTATATATATATGTATATATATATATATATATATGTGTATATATGTGTGTACCAACCCGATTTTCCCGAAATTCTTTGCAGATGCAACCCCTCTTAAAATATCAGCATGACATGTTGTCATGCTATCCGTGAGTGTTTCTCAGATATATTGAAATGCTTTCACACCACAGACATGTGGGTACTTTTATACAAGCCCGCGCTGGCCATGGTTTTTACCTGCAGCATCATAACTTACTGTCGGCCATTTTGTTTCGTTAATAAAAGTCGTTCGTCCATAAACCGAAAATGCACTTTTGGACCACTTTCAAATGAAAATTGTTGGTGGCCGAATATGTGGTGCATCGCTAATATATATAAATATATATATATATATATAATATAAATAGTATCATAAGTCAATAAACCCTCTTATACTGAACGTTACACACAATATATATTTAATTTATATTTAATAAAAAAGTGTGTAGATTCTAAATCCACATTTATAGATGTTTTTTTTTATGGTCTGGTCAAATATGGCTAGAGGATTGACAGTGTAAGTAAAAGAAATCTTCTGGACTTTTGCAGATGCCTGACCTAGTGGTACAGTCATTCTCTAGTTAGCCCAGGTTTACTGGTTCAAGAGATGTGGACCTGATGTAACGACATCCTAAACCTTAGCAGAATGGGCAGCAGCGTGTTGATGCCTTTTTTTTTTCCCGTTTGAATACAGAGCGCCTCTGCATGCCATGGCTGGACTCTGCAGGTGAAGCAGAGGGGGCCACAGAGATGAATGGCTGCCTTGAGGGAGCATGTGCTTTCGCTGAAGAGGAGACGGCTCTGTGGAAACCCCTGGTCCTGCTCATCCCCCTCAGGCTGGGCCTGAGTGACATTAACGAGGCCTATATTGAAACCCTCAAAGTAAGATGCTCGAGTGATGTCATACATGGAGAAGATTACCCCTGTTCGTCAGTTAAAAATAACTTGATTCATACTCCTGTCAGGACAACACATTTATGCATGGCTTCTTACAGGCACGTACTGTACATAGGCCTGATCTTAAAGATACAGTATGCAGGATTTCATTACAAACAATAAATAAAATCATAACATATAACCTCTATACCACGGGTCAAACTCAAGGCTTAATACCATAGATAGTAATTTATGGTATTGGTGATATTCCAAAATTCCTTTCAGTCAATCAGGGGTATCAAAAAAACTGTCATATTATATTATATTATTAATAATATGACCAATGGATTGATAGAGCTGATAGCTAAAAAAAAAAGTTGAGTATTTAGGCCACCAATACAGCAAACTGAAACAATGCGTACTGGTTAGGGATATCCGATATTGACTTTTTGCTAATATCCGATATGCCGATATTGTCCAAACACTTCATTTCCGATTCCAATATCAACCGATAACTATGTATGCAGCCGTTTCCCCCCGACACCGTAGTAAACCGATAATAATTCTTACAGATATAACATAATTATGCTAATATCGTGGCCGATAATATCAGTCGGATGTTATTATTAGACATCCCTCGTGCTGGTGGTTATGCAGTGCGCTGCATTTATCACTTTCCTTTAGGCCCTTTTTGCTTCAATAATGTTGCAGTAAATATCTAAATAATGTAATTAAAAAGTTTTTTTGATCAATTTATATGTTATAGCAATGTATTACAATTTTATTTACCCAGTAATCAAGTCTCGTTGACCATATCTGGAGAGAATATACACTGTCGATCAACCATGACACGACATTGTTAGAATTAAAAAACACATTCTGCTTTATGTCTTATCCCACAGCAATGCTTCATGCTGCCTCAGTCGTTAGGTGTCATTGGAGGAAAACCAAATAGTGCTCATTATTTCATTGGTTATGTTGGTAAGTTGGCCGCTAACGGAACTTCCTTTTTTTTTTTTTTTTTTACCTCGGTCAGTCTGAACTCTTTACTAACACACTTTTCCCTTTGTTTTGTTTGTAGGGGAGGAACTAATCTTTTTGGACCCACACACCACGCAGCCTGCAGTAGAGCCGTCAGAAGATGGCCAGGTTTACGATGACACGTACCACTGTCAGCACCCACCCTGTCGCATGCACATCTGTGAGCTGGACCCTTCAATTGCAGCGGTAGGAACCGAGGTTTATTTTATTTTATTTTATTTAAAGTGAAATGTTACAGTAGGAACATTGGTTGTAGGTGGGGATGTTCAATAGTAACATCATTTTTGCAGATATCCGATATGCCGATATAGTTCAAACATTTCCGATAGTCACTGTTACCGATATAGCGGGACAGTAATGGCCTGGTGGTTAAGGAAGTTGAATGCTGCCTGCTCACTAAGGCATGGGTTAAAGCTCAATTATTGTATGTGTATATTTTTATCTGTACAAACCACTGAATGAGTTGCTGCCACCTAGTGACCAGATGCTTGTTATCATTCAAGCATTATAGCAGTGGTACTCTTATGTCCAGCGTTCCATATTCTATTGGAAGCCCCTCACGCCCCCTCTGGCACCTCACCACACCCCCGAAGGGAACCGAAGTTTTTCCACCACCTTTTTGCAGATATCCGATATGCCGATATAGTTCAAACATTTCCGATAGTCACTGTTACCGATATAGCGGGACAGTACTGGCCTGCTGGTTAAGGAAGTTGAATGCTGCCTGCTCACTAAGGCATGGGTTAAAGCTCAATTATTTTATGTGTATATTTTTATCTGTACAAACCACTGAATGAGTTGCTGCCACCTAGTGACCAGATGCTTGTTATCATTCAAGCATTACAGCAGTACACTTATGTCCAGCGTGCCATATTCTATTGGACGCCCCTCACGCCCTGTGGCACCTCACCACACCCCGCAAGGGAACCGAAGTTTTTCCACCATTTTTCCTTATGTTGGTGTAGCATGTTTCTTCTTCTTACACTTCACTTTACGGCTTATTGTTCTTGTCTGCTCTTCACCAGGGTTTCTTCTGCAGCACCGAGGATGAGTTTGATGACTGGTGCATGCGTATAAGGAGGGTGCGTATCGGTTTTGAACACCGCTTTTTCCTGTCTGCATGTCGAAGGTTGATGCATGGAGCATTGTGATGAAGTGTAGTAAATTGTGTTCATTTAATGTTCATTTAATCCAGCTGTCCTGCAAAAGAGGGGGCTTGCCCATGTTTGAACTTGTGGAAAGTCAGCCGTCTCACATGGTCAGCGTTGACGCACTAAACCTCACTCCTGGTAATTATCTTGCAACATTGAATAGATACTAGGGCTGTCAAACGATTAATTGATCGTTCTAATCTGATTAATTGCAGGGTAGCTGTTGATTTATCTTGATTAATTAAGGTTAATCTTGATCCTAGTCATTACCGTGCCATCTCGTCGGTGGCTTGTGAGGCTGGTCACCTGATGACCTGAAGGTGAAGCATCTGTAAATGCTTTGTTACGCTAGGATTTTTAGCTTAAAAAAAAAAAAAAAAAATCTAAATTATTTTTCAGCCCTGATAAGTACATAAATAATATTGCTTGCTTGAAATTACATTATTATTCCGATTTTTCTTTTAGAACGAACTAAGGCGTTAGCTTGGCAGAGCTCTCACTCAGAACTCACGTAGAAATAACACTAACATAGAAGTAACACTAAGGTTAATGTGCATAAAATATCATGAATACGGATAAATAAAACGTACCTCTCTGCATAATCACCCCAGTCAGCTGAACAGAAAGTGAGCGGAGCTTTTACACCAACAGCGCATTTAAATTGAAACGTAGTGAAAATGTCGCTAGGCGTACATTTGTGAAATTACTCCTAAGAATAGAATGTGAAGCATCCTCCAAAACAGTTGCCGTATTTAAATTAAACCGATCTTAAACACGATTTATGATGTTATAAAACTATTACGAATATCAGTTTCTACAAGTTTGTAACATGCAGTGTTTAAAATAATTCAAACCGTGATCAGTTTCTACAAGTTTGTAACATGCAATGTTTAAAATAATTCAAACCGTGAGAGTAAGACTTAATCGTTGATGTGGCCTTCCAATGAGACAGTGACAGTAGTACCTGGCCCCGCCCCCGGGTCATAAAGGATAGCAATAAAATCCATTAATAGCATTCAATTGGATGCTCAGTTTAATGGTTCCGTCTTACGGGAAATGACGTTTAGGATGAATCAAAAGACGTCTGTAAAATATGAGTGCAAAATTTACGACAGTCCATAATGTTCAGTCTCCTCACCTGAGATTTTATGCAAAAAAAATATACGTTTATTCACGGACCTGTTTAATGCCTTCGGTATGGATACATGTTTATAATTTTCCTTAATGATTTACTGTACGTGTACAATTATATGTCTGAATGAGTACATGCTTTGCTTGCTGTTTTAAACCCTGCCGAATTTAATGGTCGTGTCTCTACACCGGCTTTTGCAGATTTCTCAGATTCTGACCGGCTGGAGCGGTTCTTTGACTCCGAAGATGAAGAGTTTGAGATTCTTTCCTTGTGAGGGAATTATGGACACTAATGTACTGCTTGTTAAGAGTAGGCAAATGATTCTCTCTCTCTTCCCTATCAGAAGGAAAAAAGCCTGATTGGAGAAACATTCTTGGAGACCTCTTGAACCAGTCGAGATACATGGTGTAGACCAGGCGTGGGCTAACTTTTTGATTCGTGGGGCCACAATTGTCCTAAAATTGAACAGGGGTTCCAGGTCAGGAGTAGATAGATGGAGCGTTCGTGTGAACTAAGATAAATGACGATGTAAAAGTCATGCATAAAGGCTAAAACGCGAAAATGCTTTTATCATTTTCTACACCATCTATTGGGGAAACATGGGTATTGCAGGGAAAGGGCAGAAGTATAATGATAATATAAGTAAATTATATAATTTGGAAAAGTGTGGCAGGCTGGATTAAAATATAGAATGGGGCCGCAGGCTGCCCATGCCTGGTGTAGACAGTGTGTAGCTGTGTGTACCAACACACAGTTCTCTGATTAATCCCTACGTCCAACCTTGAGATGGTCCTGTCAAATGTGTGGCAGGAGCTCGGGATTAATCTGAATGCACATTTTTACATTCACGTCTTTGCATTTGTAGTCTTAACACTTTGAAATGTTACGTCTGAGGTGATCTGGTGCCTTTCCTTGAATTATGCCACAATGGTTTTATGTTAAAATGATAACAGCGGCTCAACTGATGGCGCTCATAGCCATTGCTGTTTGTCAGTAATACCCAACAGCGTGTAAAGAAAATAAATGTACTTAAATCTGCAGACAATTCTATGCCAATTTCAAACAACACTTATTTGCTTGAAAATTCATTTATTAAATCAATTCATTAAATGGACAGGTAAATTACCAATAAAAATGTAAAAGGACTTAAAGATAAAATTAAAATACCCCCAAACCTGAAATTTTAGACCTGTTTCTCTTTAAGTTTTTTTTTCTTTTATTAATTAGTAGCAAATATAAAATGTGTAAAAGAATAATCTGCTTTTAAAGATTAATTACCAATTACGAAAAATAACCACATGTATCACATGTTTTATGCTGCTGCGATTGTGGCCGGGTTTACTTCCACAGTTCACCCAGTGGCTGGTTCTCAACTGTACTGACTGTGTTCAGACTGTGGGTGGCAATGTCCTCGTGCACATCCTCAATGCTCGCAGAAGCGTCAATAACCTGCAACAGACAGGCACAGTCATGTTGAGTGCAGTCGGTTTAACTACAATTAAAGCTGCTGTCGGCGATTATATTGTTTAGCTAACGCTCTGTCTGTTGCTGCTGCCAATCACATTCACGTCGTGGGCATTTGAGGCGTTGATTCCCTGCTTTTCTTTATAGGCGCACAGAGACTTGTTTCAGAAAAGACTTTATTGACAAGAGACTTACAGACAGTTATTTGGAAGTTATTCCAAAAGAGTATTATTATTATATTGTTACTAAGGTCATACATCATTTGGTGTCCATGTCCAGTGAAAGGCAGTCAGTGGGAGAATGGGCAGACCAAGAGAGCAGAACTGAAAGGGACAAATGAAAGGCTCAGTTTTTAGTACGACGTACGAGGCATTGCAAGTTAGCATTGACTCATCTTGTTGATTGCAGATTGAAAGTAAAGCTCTTCTATTAGTCTAAACAGCTGGGTGTATAATCATTAGTGATAGCTCAATCCGATAGTGGGGTTCGGTATCGGTTCGATGCTGGTCAAAATTTCAGGATTGAACAAGGATCGTCTGATCCAATACTTGAGCCCAAATGCTAACTCTGCACAACATGCCGTAAACAGGAACACTGTCACCTCTGCAACAGCAGCCCTTGGCATGCTGGAGGAGAAAAGAAAGTGTCGGGTTGATATCTGTATCGGAAGATACTCCAAGTTGCAGTATCGGTACCGGACTGAAAAAGTTGTATAAAGCCATCCCTAGCAATCATTGCACTCCACAAGTGAACACAATCCAACGATTCAGCAAAAAACAGATACTTGAGAGAGGTTTTGAGGCAATTGTAAAATGGCAAACTTTTCAAATCCAAAATGGTTGTCAAAAAAAAAACCCCAACATGTTTTTGCCAAATTAAAGAAAAATCATTTAATGGTGTCAGCTTTGATGTGTGTGTGTGTGTGTGTGACTGACCTGCCAGTTGACTGAAGCATCTTTCATCAGATGCTCAAATTTCTGTTGCACTGCTCTCTGAAAAACACTGGTCTCGTATCTCTCCTCTCCAAACTGACCCCTCAGTGAAGCCTCAGTCGGGCTGAGCTTCAGAAACATCACCAGGTCTGGCTTCGGCAGTCCCACATCTGGGTTTTTACACCAGTCCAGACAGAACCCCTGGAAGACATTTTAACTACATCACAAGTTTAACCTAAAATATATCCCGGTTTTAATACTCAATTTAATTCGTAACTTCAGAAGCAAGAAAATGTTAAAGTTTTCATATTGGTTTGGTAACAGCTAATAAGAGTTAGCAGCGGTCCCCAACCTTTTTTGTACCAAGGACAGGTATCAGCCGTTACTGACCGGTAATACAGTGCCATTGTTGAAGGATCATGAAATATTGACAGATTATCTTTAAATGAAAAAAGTAAATGGATATGACTGGATTCTTTTTTTTTTTTTAACGAAGTCAATTAGTAAAACTGAAGTACATTTGTTCACTGTGTCCGGACCGGAGGTTGAGAGCCCCTGTGTTATAGTATATGGCCTTGAGTTCAGTTTAAAAAAGAAAAAAATGTACTAGTGTAAATGATTGAGACTCACAGGTTTGGCACTGGTGAAGGCTACACCAGAGAAGGCATATCGGTCGACGACCAAATTGATGCCCTGCTCCAACTTCTTCTTCATCAAAGGCCTGTGGGTCACAATCATGTTGATGTTACCACTTGCTTAACACATTTAGCCCTGTTTAATTAGCAGCGTGTTCGTTTTTAAACACTTTCACTAAACCAGTGGTTCTCAATCATCTTCTGCCATGGCCCCCCCTTGAGGACATAAATG